CCTCCCTCACCTCCTCTCTATTCCTCCCTCACCTCCTCCCTATTCCTCCCTCACCTCATCCCTATTCCTCCCTCACCTCCTCCCTATCCCCCCCTCACTTTTCATTTCCCCTCTTTCCCTTTCCCATCACCCTTTCCATCCCGCCTTCCCTCACCCACCTTCTTTCCTTCCCCTCAATCTCATTCCCCACAGCTTTCCCTCTTCCTATTGTGAAAATCTGCCCCCTGGGACCGAGTCTTGTGTCGAATCAATTTTTATCAGGGCCGACTCTGTGTCAGGTCAAGGTGCAAAAATGGATTTCAGTCAGATTGGGTCAAGTCAAGTGGGATAACGCCGGATTGAGGCAAATGGGATAAAGTTATACTGAATCAGGTGACGTAAGGTCAGAGTGAGTCAATTAGGATACAGGTCAAAGGGAATCAGGTGAGATACGGTCAGTCCCTCTCCACACCATCAACACCCACCAACCACCACCAATTTCCTGCGAGTCCCACATCCCTACCAATCCCAACCAGCTCCATCACTCCCCCACCGATTCTCCACCAGTCCCCACTAGTTAATGTTGTAATCACATCCCCTGGAGGCAACTGGTGGGGAGAGGGAGGGTGGTGGCTAGGTGGTAATGGCCCATCAGACTGGCTTTTTGTTACTCGGTCGCCTAGAGTGACGACAACGACATCTTGGCCACGACTCTATGAGGTTTGGGCTGTGGCTACGACCTGGGTGCTGGAGAGACTGGTAGACAGAACTTGTGTATGAAGGAACTGAAATAATTTTAGTTCGCCTAACCTAACCTAAGCGAACGGTCTTTGGCTTGTTCTCAGTATCGCACGCTGCTGCTCACTGCGCATATGTACCCCGACCAAAATTGGCCTTGTGGGTACACAGGCTATATGTATACTCGACTCACTTCCCAAGGTTTACCCTCCCTGGAGCTGAAATACCTCACCTAAACAAGTAAAAATGAAAATACAAAAGTCTTTAAATATTTCCTCGAGAACTCTCCTGTAACTAGATGCCTCCAATAAATCCCCAATTAAGGGAGAAAAGACTTATTGTACCAACCTTTATGAGGCTGAGTGGGGGTACATGGTGGGCTGTATTTGTGTTTGTTAAAATATTCAAGATGACAATCCTTGTCTTGCTGGATATCTAGACTAGAACCCAGGACGTATTAGTGAGAAATACGTACCCCTTTTTAAGTGTCTTGACGAGGAAACGCACCCAGGACATAACTGTAAGAGGTACGCACCCTTCTCACTTGTGTCCGGACCTGGACATGAACCCAGGATATAGCTTCCTTATTTCCATCCCTCTCTTCCCTCTGTCCCTCTCTATGAAATTCTATCTCTCACCTTCCACTTTCCGTTCTCCCTCCCACCCTCTCTCCTTCACTCTCCCCCTCTCTCCCTCATTCCTCCTCCCGTCCTTCCTTCTTCTTTCTTTTATTTCTTCCTCGTCCACTTGACATTGAGTGCCTCTTGTATACAGGAGTGCCAGTGGGGAGGGAGGAGGAAGAGGAAGCAATTGTGCCTGAGGAAAAAGGTATAGGTACAAGTGGCCAGGTGATGCAGGTTTGTTCTTTTTTAGGCCCCTGTTGAAGGAGTGATGGAGTAGTGTTGGGGAAGTGTTGAAGTAGAATTGGAACAGTGTTGACGAAGTGACTGAAAGAAAGTTTATATTAATGTTCGGGGTACTGTTGGGGATTGTATTTTCCTTTTGAGAATATTTAAGTGTTGGAGTGATGTTCCTGTAGTGTATTATTGGTGAGTGTTGGAGGGTCGTAAGTTATCTCTGATCTGGGTGTGGGGTAAGAGTTGTGTTGGAGAACCAGTTACACGAGTGCTAGTTAGTGGTGAAGTGTTAAAGAAGTGTTGAAGTGTCGGAGAAGTATTGACAAATAATTGTTTAGGTGCAGTTGAAGTGTTGAGAAAGAGTTGAAGAAATGAAGAGACGATGGAGTGATGTAGCAGTTTGAAGTGTTAAAGAAGAAGGAGGAAATCAATGTTAAATTAGTGTTGGAAGAAGAGTTGAAGGGTGAGCCACATCACAGAGATAAACAACACAGGACATCTACCGTAGTTTTGATTCTCATGACTTCCTATTAAATTCACAAGTTGAATTTAGATGTATTATTAACATCTAACATCAAGAACAAACTATAATTCTTTCCTGATATCAGATGTTTTACGGTAATATCATCCCCATCATCAGTGCTAAATAGCGAACAATACCGAATCAAACAAGGCAATTAACTACCAGTAACAAACGTGTGAAAATGTTCATGAAGATTACATTAAATTACATAGAATTTAATACTAAAGAGATTTTAATATCATAGATCAATTATAATTAACAATACAGCTTAGTGTCTCTGCCCGCTGTGCCGTGAGAACTTCCACCACAATCATATCGCATGTGCTTGAGAGACTTACTGTTTTATCGGAGAACAAGAGGTGGAGGCAGAACACCCAGTGAGGGAAATCCAAATACGTAGATGATGGAGATACGAAAACATGATAATAAACGAGTAGGAGGGAAAAATTTTAAAGGTCGAACGAAGGATAATTTAATATAAGGTGTGGATGGAAAAAAGGCGATAAATTAGTAAGAGGGAATTATAAAGATCAAAGAAAGAAAATTGAGTGGGAGAGTGGATGATGAAGAGAGGAAAATATGATAGTAAATAAGTAAGAGGGAAATAGAGTTAAAAATGAATCAAAATTTAATAGATGTGGATATTGCAGAGATGAGAACATGACAATTAACAACGAAGAGAATCGTGTCCAAAAAATGAGAAGAAAGATTAAACAGAAAATGAAGATAAAGGAGGAATGAAAAAAAAAATGTCAATAAACGAGAAAAATTATATTGGAAAAGTAAATTGAACGAATATTCAATAGCGTGCGTGGACGGCGAAGAGACACAGCGGAAAAAATCAATAAATGGATGGAAGGATGGAAGGAAGAGTGAAGATTGTCGGAAGAGAAATGCAATAGAAGATGGTGGATGATGGAGAGATGAAAACAAGGCAATAAATAAGTGGGTGAGATGGAGTAAAGAAGGCCATTCGTATACCAAGAGCTCAATGATGGTGAGAAGAGATAAAATTGGAGAAATATGAGAAGTAACAAACACGAGAATAAACTAAGAAAGAAGAGAAGGACGGGGGGCGAAGGCAAGAGAATAGCATTAAACAGAGATAAAGTAAGGTAGATAATAGAAGGATAAAGTGATAAAAGAAAAAGACTGAAGAAAAAACATGCAATAACGTTGGGGGAGGAAGGGAGATAAAAATATTGACGTAGAAGTTAAAGAATAGCAGAAGTCAAAACAGCGAGAATAACAAAGAAAAATTATATTGGTTTTTTAATAATTACCCCGATAAATGTACTGACATCACCTTTGCTACCTCAATTACTTACCTCTACAGACTTCTTTATTAGACAAACATCAAACACTTTCAACATATTTACGTTTAGTATTATATCCATTACTTAACAGAAGACAAAAGATCGTGAGACATTTTTTTTTCATTTAGTAATTTTCAAAGGCTTTGACTAAATCCATCTTTTCCTCCCAGTAGCGACGTGAGAGAGAGAGAGAGAGAGAGAGAGAGAGAGAGAGAGAGAGAGAGAGAGAGAGAGAGAGAGAGATTACAAAACCCGGGACTCGAAAACTCTTCCAATTTTCCATCTCTCATTCGCTCATCATTCTTAATAAAAACTCCGGGATACGAGCAATTGAGTGGAGCTGTTCGTTTGTAGTACCTCGTATCATGAAAGACAATCAACCGATGAAACAAACAATGAAACAAATCAATAACCTTTTAGAAAACAAAAGAATATAATTGAGAACAAATAAACCTATCCACGATTAAACAATGAAGTAGATCCCCAAACGCACTTCAGTTTTTTTTCCAGTTAATTTATTTCTATTTTATGGTCCTGAAATTGTGTTAAGGAGCGAGACTCCCTCAGCTACTTAACTGTAAGGTGTGGTGACCAACAGGTAACATACGACCAGGTAGTTAGTTGAAAAGCTCTTAATTAATGACTTGATATGGCGCCCGGGGGAGAAGGGGAGCGAGTGTGTGGTTTAAGGCTCCTCCGAGTTGCCATAGTCTCCAGTGAGATACTTGCCACAGTTGCCATAAATATACCTGTCACAGTTGCCATAGATATACATATAAATTTTGTTAAAGGTAATATCCACAGTAGCCATATAGTTACCTGCCATAGTTATCATAGGTATTACCAGCAACAGTTGCCATAGAAATACCAGCCACTATTGAGAATCTTGCTACCGTTGCCATATATACACCACAGAGCAGAGACCCAAGATATGATGAAAGAGGATCAGGTTACATGTGGAAGGGAGAGGAGGGAGGGAGAGGAGGTAGGTGTCAGTGGCAGCCTTCCCGAGTGTGTAATGATCCTCTCTTCTGGGACCACACACCCAGCCTCCCCCTGTCTTGCTACTGTCTGTCTGTCTGTCACCTCGTGTTTGTCACCTTCTCCGAATCTTTATCTGTCTGTTTGTATTTTTCACTTTTGACTCTGTTCTTCTCTGTCTCCATCGTTCTCCGTCCAGTCCTCCTTCATTCCCAAATTTTCCCTTCCTCTAAATCTGACTCTATCTCTCCTTGTTCCTCCGTCTCTCTTCCAACTCACTCCCTCCCTCTCTCCTCTCCAGGCCTAAGACAAACACCACCACCTACTCCACAGATCAAGTTCCTCCATCCTCTTTTGGTGGAGGCGAGTCATGTTTACCCACAATAATTACGCAGTGGAGGCTGGCCACAACACCAAGCTGGCCACAACACCAAGCTGGCCACAACACCAGGCTGGCCACAACACCAGGCTGGCCACAACACCAGGCTGGCCACAACATCAGAGTCACAATAACATGCTAGTCATATCACCAGGATGGCCCATTCTTCACAATAACAGGGAATTACTACAGTACCGTTCGTCATCATAACAGCAGCTGGTACTCACCTCTCTCGACCTTGCTCATGGAGGGAGAGTGTTTCTTGTGGGGAGAGAAGCTGAACTTGCTCCTCTTCTCGTGGTCGCCGCCGCCCTCCGCCTCCTTTTCTGTCCCTACGTCCGCACACATGCACTTTGACACCCCGAACCCCATTTTCTTTATCTAACCTTTTTCTGGTACTCAGTGGAAATGTTTAGAATTTTTAATAACTGTCTTCACTTAATTTATGTATACACTGATTCATCTGAAATTGATTAAGTTTTAGTTTATAAATCTGTATTGTTTTTCAGCACTGTGAAATTATCATAAAACACTCGTCTTGTGTGTGTGTTTTTGTTTTCTTGTTTTAATAAAGTTTTTGGCTGAAAAATTATAAGAATATTTTAGATTTTCATTGTCTGGCCTCTCAATTAACTAAAGTGGATTCTCGATAACACTGCACATCTAGACTTATATCAGCCGAATAAGCCTTCACAGACAAAGAGGAATCGAGGTATAAATTTCATGCACCGAGTTCATAAGAGCTTCTGAATTATTCCATTACTCTCGTTTATCGCTACACTGAACCCAAGATTTACTGCTACGTCTTATACCGTGAATCCTCCACATTATATAGCCACACAGAGGCTCTCCACCTCTACCTGCTGACCTTCATTAAGATTACCTCTGGGTCAGGTAATCCCCTGCCTGTTGATGAGGGGTGGAAGTGTTTAGGTGGAAGTGGGCGTCCGTGGCCATAATACTGGTTCCTGAGTGACCATGACCATCGCCTGTGTCGGGTCCATATCACGGATGGGTTCTCCCCCAGCTGCTACACCTGTAAAATGATAATCTAGTCAATACTTTGGTCCCACAACATTGTCATCTGTGTGACGTCCAATTCGTTCCTGGTTCCTTCACCTGCAAGGAAGAATTCTGGTTAATGTTCTGGCTACCTCTTAGGACTCATAGGTGAATATACCTGTTAAATATAGAGTGGGTGATGCCGTGGCCACCATTATCACCTTTGTGACGTCCATATTATCGACTATCCATGCTGTAGTTCCTGCACCTGTAAGGATAAATTCCGGTTATCTCCGTCAGCTGCTGTTTTTATAATGAAATATTATGGTCAATGTCCTAAAACTGATTAGTGAGTTACAGGTGTATTGTTTATTGTCAGCGTCCAGTTCAAATACGTATAACACATTCTCGAAAAGTTCCCCTGAAGGGTCGTCGATCACTTGAAGTATAATCTATTGGATAGAGAAACTCCTAAACATTTATGAAATTCAGCCAAATATTGATATAAGCAGTAGAGGAGATCTGTGATTGGGAGAGAAATATATTGGTTAAGGTGGTACGATACTGTGTGTGTGTGTGTGTGTGTGTGTGTGTAAATTTTTGCTTGTTTTTGCATTGTAACATATGCCTGAAAATATGCTTGTGTTTAGTCATACGTGTATTGGTTGGAGTTCGTGCTTGTGTATGAAAATAATTACCATTTTTTAAGTAGAGAAAAACTTATGAATGTTTCTTCTTAAAAACATCATATACTTACTTTAGTATTATTAGTCATTTATACCTTGAAAAGATCAGCTGAACTATAGAAGGTTTCAGAATACAACCTACCACCACCACCACCATGACCCAACCCACCACCACCACCACCATGACCCAACCCACCACCACCACCATGACCCAACCCCACCACCACCACCATGACCCAACCCACCACCACCACCTCACCACCCACCATGACGAACCAACCCACCACCACCACCACCACCATCATGAGCCCAACCCACCAACACCACCACCATGAGCCCAACCCACCACCACCATGATGAACCAACCCACCACCACCACCATGACCCTAACCACCACCACCACCACCATGACCATGACAAACCAACCCACCACCACCACCACCATCAGGAGCCCAACCCACCAACACCACCACCATGACCAACCCACCATCACCACCACCACTATGAACTCAACCCACCACCACCATGAACGCAACCCATCACTATCACAGGTCACTGGAATCTTATCTGAAGTGAAAATGAGCCTATTCAAGCCCCCACCCCCCACGCCCACCCCCCACCCCCACCCACCACCCACCCATGTTATCATCCTCTTGTTATTGGAAAACTGAAGGATCATTTAATTAATTATAACATTCTATAAATTCCATCAAAGAATGCAATGGGAGTTAGAATGAAGGGAAGTATGAATGAGGGAGGTATGAATGAGGAAAGTATGAATGAAGGGAAGTATGAATGAAGGGAAGTATGAATGAGGGAGGTATGAATGAGGGAAGTATGAATGAAGGGATGAATGTATGAATGAAGGGAAGTATGAATGAGGGAATGAATGATGAATGAAGGGTATGAATGAAGGAAGTATGAATGAGGGAAGTATGAAGGGAAGTATGAATGAGGGAAGATGAATGAAGGAAGTATGAATGAAGGAAGTGATGAATGAGGGAAGGTGAAATGAGTATGAATGTATGAATGAAGGGAAGTATGAATGAAGGGAAGTATGAATGAGGGAGGTATGAATGAGGGAAGTATGAATGAAGGGAAGTATGAATGAAGGGAAGTATGAATGAGGGAAGTATGAATGAAGGGAAGTATGAATGAGGGAAGTATGAATGAAGGGAAGTATGAATGAGGGAAGTATGAATGAAGGAAGTATGAATGAAGGAAGTATGAATGAGGGAAGTATGAATGAGTGAAGTATGAATGAGGGAAGAATGAATGAAGGGAAGTATGTAGGAGAGACGTGGTGAGGATTGATGATTTATGGAAGAGGAATTTAAAGGAAGGATGGAGGAAAGGAGGAATGGAGATAGGGAAGGGGGAAGATAGGGAAGGAGGGAGATAGGGAAGGAGATAGGGAGGGAGACAGGAAGGTAGGGGAGGGAGGGAAGGGGAAGGGAAAGAGAGAAATGTGATAGGAGGGGAAGTATAGAGGGTAGGATAGGAAGACTGGGTGGTGGTACAGGTTGAGGATGGTAGGAAGGAAGGTGGATGATGGGAAGGGAAGGATATAATTGGAGGAGAAGGTTATGATAGAGGAGGGAAGGATATATTGCAAAAAAAGAAACTAGAGGATTGATGGGATGGGAGATTGATAGAGATGGAAAAGAAGGAGATAGATGGAAGAGTGAAGAGGAAATGAGAATTATATAAAAGGAAAAGGAAAATAGTGAGGGAAATGGTGGTATATAAAATGTTAGGTCATAAATATATCCTTGCTGTCTCTCCGTGTAGAATCAGGAGGAGGAGGAGGAGGGGGAGAAGAGGCTCTCACGTTAATTACTTGTATGTTGATAAACAGAGAGGGGTTAGGGGTGGGGCGTGAGGGGGTTGGGGGTTTGGCGTAGGGGTGGGAGGAATGTAGTTAGGTATGATTAGTGGAAATATTTACACTGTAATTGATACGTTTGTTTTAGGGAGTGAGTATGAGGCCGGAGTAGAGAAGGGGTAGATGTTGAGTTTGATAAGTAAATAAGTTACAGCAAGGTCCGTAATTCAATGTTACAGGTGATTCAAGTCTGTAATATGAGAGGTGAGTCAGGTTTGGGGCGTCACCTTTTTAGCCATCAACTGTGACCGTAATGGTTGTCACCTTGACCTTAATGGTGGCTGTACACACACAAAATGCATCATATAATATATATATATATATATATATATATATATATATATATATATATATATATATATATATATATATATATATATATATATATATATATATATATATATATATATATATATATATATATATATGACGCGGAACCAATTGCACGAACTTCCTTGGCATTGCTAATAATGAATTCTGGACACACGTACACCTCCCAACACACACACACACACACTCTCTCTGCTCACAATATATTCCTTACTATTCTTCCCTTCACCACACTACTCCCCTCACAATAGATCACTCACCACACTTACCCCACCTTTACCATTACCCTCGATACCCATCTTCACCTCCCACCCACTACACACAAGCTTCCCCATCACTCTGTCTCACTCTCTCTCCACACACACACACACACACACACACACACACACACACACACACACACACACACACACACACACACACACACACACACACACTCTCTCTCTCTCTAAAAAGGAGGCGCTATTCGAGCCTTTGATGACCCCCTGTGAGGCATTTTGTGTGTGAGAATGACAGTAATGAGACCGGTTCCTCCCCCCCCCTCCCCTGATGAATGTACCCCACCACCTATATATATAATCATAATCCAGGGTGTTCAAGGAAGGGATATGAGGAAGACCAAGAATTGAGGATAATGCAAGAACGGGAAGAGAGAGAGAGAGAGAGAGAGCTAGTATGTAAATTTCAACGTGGCCTAATATTGAAAGTGAGTAAGACAGAGAGATAGAGAGAGGCAGTGAGAAGAACGAAGGAAAAAAGAGGGAAGAAACAAAGAAAGAATAAAGGAAGAGAGAGACGAGAAAGGAAATTATTTTGAAAGAAAGTACCAAAAATAGAAGACAGGAATAATACAAAAGAGATACTAGATAAAAGAATGAATTATAGAGAAAAACGAGGGAGAAATAGAAAGAAGGGAGCAGGAAGCAGGGAGAACACATCAAGTAAAGTTTATGCATGTTTGTTTGCGTGTGTGTGAAGAGAAGGGGGGGGGAGTTGCGTGCGTGTTATGGTTTGTGAATCCAGGAAGCAGAGAAAAGAGAGAGAGAGAGAGAGAGAGAGAGAGAGAGAATTTAAATTACATCCACCAGCGCAGTAAAAGTGTGTAGTGTAGTGTAGTGTTATGTGGTGTAGTGTAGTGTAGTGTAGTGTGGTGTTGTGTGGCGTAGTGTAGTGTAGTGTGGTGTTGTGTGGTGTAGTGTAGTGTAATGTGGTGTGGTTAGTGTCTGTCTTGTGGTGGCGGGGAGGTTGTATATACACTGTAACTATCTTGTCTTTGTTGTTTTCACCTACTTTCCTCTCTTCTCTCCCTTGTTCCCTGAAGGGTGTGTGTGTGGGGGGTGGTGGGGGGGACGCATCATATCATAATTCCAAGGTTTTCACTCATTTCGCCAAACCCACATCGATATGTTGCCACACGTAGAGTAATTTGTAATTTTCTAATAATTTGGGGTAATTTTGGTGTAATATTGTACAAATTTTTTTTTATTTGTTGGGTTCGTAGTGCAGCAAAATCGGACAGCCTTGGACGTTCGTGTGTGTGTGTGTGTGTGTATGACGTGTTCATGTCTGTCATACTGCTATCCTTTCCCCTCTGCGTCTCCCTCTAACTCCCCCTTACCCCTTTCCTCTTCCCCTTACCCTTGCCCCCTCCCTTTCCCCCTCCCCTTCCCCCCTCCCCTTCTCCCTTCTTGGCGCTGTTTGTCCGTCATCGAGGCTCCGCTTGTGTTCTCGTATCATGATAAGGTTATTCCTTACTTTAATGTATGGCATCATCATCATCATCATCATCATCATCATCATCATCATCATCATCATCATCATCATCAACAACACACACACACACCAAACAGAATATCATTGAATTATCCTAAACGTATTGATTATTACATTGTTTCAGATACAACCAGGATAGGTTAGGTTAGGTTAGGTTAGGTTAGGTGTTTCATCCTATTTTACAGATGCGTGAAATATAGTGGAAAGTGGCGGTACAGAGCGAGATTGAAATTTAATCACTTTGATATTGAATTCCGGAAGCCTGTTGCAAATTGGTTACAGTCTGCAGGTGGCGAGTGTGTGGGAGTCGAGTGTGTGGGAGTCGAGTGTGGCTGTGGTGAGAGAGTGTAGCAAGGAGTG